TTCTAGTCATTTCCGGTGAAACAGGAAGTGACCAAAAACAATTGAATACGTCTACAAAATCTCGTTTTTTTTATCTGAAAAAATATAAATGTTATAGGGATGAGCCACTTTTGAGACGCACCCAGTATAAGATTTTTATTTTATTTTTATAGGTGTTACTTCAAAATAAAAGAAATCCTAAATATGACACTAGCATTGTTCTAAGGCAAGTTTTATGCAATTTTATCAATTTGCAACACGACTAAAAAAATAAATGCTGACATGAGTGCATATTCCCATATCACGATTTATTTGCTTATTACAAAGAAATCTGATATTAACACTCAGTAGGAATATAGAGGTCAAAATTTACAATTATTTTGTCAAGGTTTTTGTAAAATGCAATAAAACCAAAAACCATTAGATTCCCTGTGGCTTCCATTACACTGATTAATTTCCTAGAACTTAAGTTTAATTTTGCCACAGTTGTTTTTTCTCCATTGTATTAAATATAATTTCCTTTATTTTTTTTTCCTTTTTATTTTTATTTTTTAAGATAAAAAAACGAGATTTGGAATGCTAGTATATGACATAAGTTAGATTGATTGACGTAAAATTGTTTGTTTTGGTCGCTTCCTGTTTCACGGAAATGACTATAAATTTTGATTTTAAATGGCACCCTCGGTATATTTCTACTTTATTCGATAGAAAATGACACTCTGAATAGAATGGCATATCATACGTCAACTTTTAATATTTTTGCTTAAAAATCGTATTTTAAATTTCAATCTAGAGTGCCGTGGCTGTGTTAAAAACACGAATTTTTAATCCAGGGCCTTGGAAAAATATAATTCCGATCGTCAAATGTTTTTCGTGAAAATGTGAAAAGTTGACATATGATATGTCACTCTATTCAGAGTGTCATTTACTATCGAATAAAGTAAAAAAATACCGAGGGTGTCATTTAAAAATAAAAAATTCTAGTCATTTCCGGTGAAACAGGAAGTGACCAAAAACAATTGAATACGTCTACAAAATCTCGTTTTTTTTATCTGAAAAAATATAAATGTTATAGGGATGAGCCACTTTTGAGACGCACCCAGTATAAGATTTTTATTTTATTTTTATAGGTGTTACTTCAAAATAAAAGAAATCCTAAATATGACACTAGCATTGTTCTAAGGCAAGTTTTATGCAATTTTATCAATTTGCAACACGACTAAAAAAATAAATGCTGACATGAGTGCATATTCCCATATCACGATTTATTTGCTTATTACAAAGAAATCCGATATTAACACTCAGTAGGAATATAGAGGTCAAAATTTACAATTATTTTGTCAAGGTTTTTGTAAAATGCAATAAAACCAAAAACCATTAGATTCCCTGTGGCTTCCATTACACTGATTAATTTCCTAGAACTTAAGTTTAATTTTGCCACAGTTGTTTTTTCTCCATTGTATTAAATATAATTTCCTTTATTTTTTTTTCCTTTTTATTTTTATTTTTTAAGATAAAAAAACGAGATTTGGAATGCTAGTATATGACATAAGTTAGGATTGATTGACGTACAAAATTGTTTTTGGTCGCTTCCTGTTTCACCGGAAATGACTATAAATTTTGATTTTTAAATGGCACCCTCGGTATATTTCTACTTTATTCGATAGAAAATGACACTCTGAATAGAATGGCATATCATACGTCAACTTTTAATATTTTTGCTTAAAAAATCGTATTTTAAATTTCAATCTAGAGTGCCGTGGCTGTGTTAAAAACACGAATTTTTAATCCAGGGGCCTTGGAAAAATATAATTCCGATCGTCAAATGTTTTTCGTGAAAATGTGAAAAGTTGACATATGATATGTCACTCTATTCAGAGTGTCATTTACTATCGAATAAAAGTAAAAAAATACCGAGGGTGTCATTTAAAAATCAAAAATTCTAGTCATTTCCGGTGAAACAGGAAGTGACCAAAAACAATTGAATACGTCTACAAAATCTCGTTTTTTTTATCTGAAAAAATATAAATGTTATAGGGATGAGCCACTTTTGAGACGCACCCAGTATAAGATTTTTATTTTATTTTTATAGGTGTTACTTCAAAATAAAAGAAATCCTAAATATGATGCTAGCATTGTTCTAAGGCAAGTTTTATGCAATTTTATCAATTTGCAACACGACTAAAAAAAATAAATGCTGACATGAGCTCATATTCATATCACGATTTATTTGCTTATTACAAAGAAATCCGATATTAACACTCAGTAGGAATATAGAGGTCAAAATTTACAATTATTTTGTCAAGGTTTCTGTAAAATGCAATAAAACCAAAAACCATTAGATTCCCTGTGGCTTCCATTACACTGATTAATTTCCTAGAACTTAAGTTTAATTTTGCCACAGTTGTTTTTTCCCCATTGTATTAAATATAATTTCCTTTATTTTTTTTCTGCGTTTTTCTTAAACAAAAACCTGTTTATTCAAAACACAATTATTCACCTTTTAATTCGATCATCAAGAGAATTTCAAGCAAGGTAAAATCATTAGAGCATCGTAAACGGTTGTGTTAATCATGTTGTTTGAATGCTAGTGTGTGTCATCAAATTTACTGGAAGAATGAATGAAGAAAGCTCTAAAGAATGACACACTATATTAATTAGTAAAGTTTTAATTGTTGTTTATTTCTTTTTTTAAGTTTTCTAAAAAAATGTCTAAGAAATTTTTCAAAAAATTCCAAATTTTCAATTTTTTTCCGCGAACAAAACTCATAGACGCGTTTCTGAGATCAAAATATACTACCCGGACTACCCCTGAAAATATATGCACTCATTTAAGACCCACCCTGTATATATTGGTCCAAAAAAACAAGATTTAAGAAACACCAAAATGTCATAATATACAGGCTCTTGAAAAAAGTACCATCAAACTAAATTTTTAAATACCCCAAAAAAATTATAAAAGATTTTTTGATATACAGGGTGTTTCCAAACAAATGCGAAAAACTTTAGGGGGTGAATCCTTGTTCAAAATAAAGGGTAGTTTGCTTTATAAACGTTGGGTCAAAAGTCAACCATTAGGGAGATATCGCGGTACAAAGATGGCGGAAAAATAATGTTTTTATTTTTTATCTTGAAAACGAAAAGAGATAGACTAATGAAATTTTATGGAAGCATTACTGTTATGAAAACACACTTTTTGGTAATTTTTTCACTTTTTTAAAATGAGTGGAAGGGGTTGAAATAAACTACCCCTATCATTCTTGTTAACGAAATTTAAAGAAAAATCTTATCAAACACATGCAAAAAAATTAATTTGGATAGTTTAGTTCGTTTAGAAACTTTTTTATCTCTTGTGTTTTTTTGATAAAGCTCACCGATTTGAAATTAAAAAATAAAATGTAAAGCATTACATGTCAGGACAAAAAACATTTTTATATTAAGAATCTAGTGATAATAACGATAATAATAATCATCTAGATAATAATGTATTGCAGTAGAGTAATGTCAAATAAAATAATATTAGGAACATCCTAAAAAGTAACAGCGGCCGACTAGATTTTTTCCTAAAAAAATTACAGCAGCCCACTAGATTCTTTATCAGAAAATGTTTTTTGTCCTGGCATGTAATGCTTTACATTTTATTTTTTAATTTCAAATCGGTGAGTTTCATCAAAAAAATTCAAGAGATAAAAAAGTTTCTAAACAAACTAAACTATCCAAATTAATTTTTTTGCATGTGTTTGATAAGATTTTTCTTTAAATTTCGTTAACAAGAATGATAGGGGTAGTTTATTTCAATCCCTTCCACTCATTTTAAAAAAGTGAAAAAATTACCAGAAAGTGTGTTTTCATAACAGTAATGCTTCCATAAAATTTCATTAGTCTATCTCTTTTCGTTTTCAAGATAAAACATAAAAACATTATTTTTCCGCCATCTTTGTACCGCGATATCTCCCTAATGGTTGACTTTTGACCCAACGTTTATGAAGCAAACTACCCTTTATTTTGAACAAGGAATCACCCCCTGAAGTGTTTCGCATTTGTTTTGAAACACCCTGTATATGATATTTTTGAAATCTATAATAAAATATACATTTTAAAAAAATAAAAATAGGTACATATACATAATTTTATGAAAAGATTTTACTAAAAGAAATCACAAATATTTTAGGCAAATAATTTTAAATCAGACTCCCATCAAGATAAAACTTATGTCCACTTTTTTTTCTTTTTCTGTATAGCAATAACCCAAAATATTCTGTGATCTTCTTTTATAACTAATCCCACATTACCTCAACATAGCCCTTCCCAATACTCAATTATAATTACCATCACACCACGCAAAGGCGCAAAAATACTTACCTTGGTTTAAGTTTTTTACGACACTTTTGAGAGTTTATAAATTATAAACACCAAAACATTACACTTTATTTACACCTTACACCGACAAATTAAATCACTCAAAAATAGTTTCAATTAATTGTTATCAATTTACAGTGAGCGCATCCACACTACCGCTTATTATTCACCGTCAATTTTTTGAATTCATTTGACTCATTCATTCCCGCGTACATGCATTTCAGATTTTTTAATGGTAGGGGAACTCAGCCAACGATTATTATTGGCTGAGATTTCTTTACCCTCAACTAAAAATGCATCTCTATTGTTGAATTACCCTCCTTTCAAATTATACGCTCTTTTTTCTTCCGCATTGTCTGTATGAAGGGTTAAAACTTGAAACCATTTAATTTTTATTTTGCATTTGCTATTTTAAAAACTTATTCATTGCTAATCACCAATCGGTACTTTAAAATAAAGTGGAACTTATGTAACAATAGGCAACCAGTTATTCCATGCTTTGTATTATTAGTTGCATAATTAATTCTATTCAAAATAGTGATTTGTATAATTATAAAACTATTTTCAAACTATGAAAAGAGAAAAAAAACTATTGAAAAATAAATACACTTTATTTTAAATGTACTCTGTGTATTTCTTTTGTATTTATAATCGAATTTGTAATATTTAAGACACTATTTTGACTAAAACGGAAACTTCAAATCTGTCAAAATAAATATCCGGTCTTTCTTGTCAACATCAGGAAAATGACGACTCCTGCGGCTAAGGTATTTTTCATTATTTTTTTATTGTAAAGAATACGACTTTCCATTGTTTCTATGTGATAAACTCTATAAATGTTTTTCCTTTTTAGCCTAAAAGGGAACCCATCCACGCTGTCCAAGTATTTGGCAGGAAGGTAAGTTTCAGTATCTAACCTAAAAACAACGTGGTTACCTTTTATATTTCGATAAATATTGGTGTTTTATAAATTTATTCATAATAAATTTATTTTTTGTAGAAATCTGCAACTGCAGTAGCTTACTGCAAAAGAGGCAGAGGAGTTCTCAGGGTAAATGGACGCCCCTTGAGTCAAGTGGAGCCCAAAATGCTCCAAGACAAATTACAAGAACCTATTCTCTTATTAGGCAAGGTAATTACTTATTCATCTACTTAAATACGATTCTCGAAGCTTATTTTTTGTTTAAATTACAGGACAAATTCTCTGCTGTTGATATAAGAGTCCGTGTAAACGGAGGTGGTCATGTTTCACAGATCTACGCTATCAGACAAGCCATTTCAAAGGCCTTAGTGGCTTACTACCAAAAATGTAAGTAAATTAACATAGTGTTTATTGAACCAAAACTTGACAAGATTTTAATTTATAGATGTTGATGAAGCTTCCAAAAAGGAGCTTAAAGACATCTTAATCCAGTACGATCGTACTCTATTGGTTGCTGATCCTCGTCGCTGTGAACCCAAGAAGTTTGGTGGTCCGGGTGCTCGTGCTCGCTACCAAAAATCTTACCGTTAATATTTTAGGTTATATGACTCGAGTTTGTTTGTATCTATTCAAATAAACTTATATTATTTCTATTTTAATGTCTTTTATTTCTTTTCCCCTGTTCAGACTAATGTATCAAGGAAAAGGTAGGTAAAATGCTTCATATTTTTTATGGTTTTTCAATGTCTTTTCATTTATAGATTCTATAAACAAATGGTTGGTGGTGTAGGGAAATATATACTTTAAAAGGTAAATGATTTTTTAAATTTTACTCAGGGTTAGAAGGATGTATCCCATGATGTTTTTATAGATTGATATCAGATGAGGATATTCTGATATCAATGTTAATAAAATAATGTAATAATCTCTGTATTTTTTAAATGTTTTTTTGTTTTTCTTTTTATTCAAAGGTAAAATAAAAGACATTGTTTATAATATGTTTTTGTTAATGTGTTTGTGTTAAAATTTAAAATATAATTTATAAGCAAGTAATAAAATTTTGAAAATAATATTTATCAGATAGGTATATATCATGTGATACAACATGAACCCTGGTTTTAATTGTTATTGGGCTTTTTTATTATGATGATCTTTTTATCCCGAATATGATATTAAATGAAATCAACTTTCTATCTGAGTTTATACATTCTTTGATATATCATATATTTCTGCATAAATATGTTACTACTTATTGTTTTTGTTTTATTTTCAGATAATAATATAACTAGAGGTTGGTTTGGACCTGGAAAATGAAATGAGAACAGGTAATTGCTAGTTTTAACATTTTATTGACTTAAAACAAGTTTAATAAATATAGAGAAATTAAATGACTAGAATAAGTTAACAATAGGATAATAAATGTCATTCACAAACAAATTCAAAATTGGTATACACGATAAATATTTCTCATTTTAAAATATATAGGCTAATTATAGGTAAATGTACAAATATTGTACAACAAAAGTCTATTTTGCAGTAGTAATCTATGCAAAATACTTATTTAACAATAAATAATTTTTGGGATAGGCTTTAACAATAAAATTACATGATTGTTAACATAGTTAAAAGGATATTTAAACATGATTGTCATTATGAAACAAATCTGCATTGATTTTCGCTCCCATTCTTTTGAGTGCTATTATAGTGTTAACTGCTTTTATCCATCTGCGTTTAATCACATAACGTTTCAATTTTGATGTATTCAACGGTTCCTCTGAATGCACTGTACTCTTCCTTAACCAAGGATGGTCCAGGGCTTGCTTCGATGTCAATCTCTTCCTAAAATTATAGTTTTATTCGCTATATTTTTGTTAAAAATTCAAAAACATTTTTAAGCTAGCTTAGTACAGCTTCAGCAGTCAACTTACCTTTTTTAAGATAGAAAATGACAGGAGAAAATGAAATAAGGGTTTGATTTTTGTTAAAGTAGGTTTTATTTTAAATTAATGAACACAGAGAATACATGAAGAAATGCGCTTGATGGTCCCAAATGAGATGTTTACAACAGGACTTACTAATTTGACATACAATGACATAATATAAAAGAATTCTCGATAAGTTAAAACTTAAAACAGTTATTTCTATGTTTTTTTTTGTCATGGATGAGGAAAAAATTAATTTATTATGATTATCATTAATTACACTTATACCGGGTGCGTCTCAAAAGTGGCTCATCCCTATAACTTTTTTATTTTTTCAGATAAAAAAAAGAGATTTAGTATGTTAGTATATGACATAAATTATGATTGATTGACGCATTCAATTGTTTTTGGTCACTTCCTGTTTGACCGCAAATGACTACAACTTTTGATTTTTAGTACCCTTGGTATATTTTTACTTTATTCGATAGAAAATGACACTCTGAATAGATTGATATTTCATCAATTATTGACATTTACGCTTAAAAACGTATTTTAAATTTCATTCTAGATTGCCATGGCTGTGTTAAAAACACTAATTTTTAATCAAGGAGCCTTGGAAAAATAGATTTGGTTGTCTAATCTTTTTCGTACCTTGTTCTGGCCGGTTGAAAGATGTCCAAATCGCATTTTTAATCATATCTCAATTTTTTCAAATGGAACAAGGGTGGCTCATTAGCATATTTGGAAAAAGCATTTTTTTACGAATAATTTGGTACCACACACGTGGTATTTCGAGTCAAATTGTCGTTACGAACTGCATGTTACAATTTCAAATAAACCATACGTGAAAAAATTGACATATGATATATCATTTTATTCAGAGTGTCATTTAAAAATCAAAAGTTGTAATTTCCAGTAAAGCAGAATGTGACCAAAAACTATTGAATACGTTAATCAATTCTAATCCAAACCAAATTTCATTTTTTTATCTGAAAAAATAAAAAAATTATAGGGGGCGAGTCACTTTTGAAACGCACCCGGTATAGATGATAAAGAAACTATTTTTCACTCAATACGCTGCATATTTTAAGTAGAGCGATATCACAGAAATGATGCATTATTTTTTATTTTAAAATAGTCTACCATCACTAGGTGTGTGATTGTTCATATAGGCACATTGATATTTGTTAAATTTTCTCTAAAAGTTATTCAGTTTTTTGCTGCTGATTTTCATAAAAAAAGTATCATTCGATAATATAGTTTTCCTTAGACTTATTCTATATAAATCTTAGGTTTTGGTTTTTTAGAAATGTTTGCAATATTTTAATATCTAAAATAAGAGAGCACATATTTTTTTTGGTTTAAAGCATTGGCATGTTTAATGATATAATAAGTAAAATATCAAACTCAAACCTGCATTTTTTTCAATTTTTATAGCTTTTTGTAAACGGAGTCTATTTTTATAGGAAACATATTAATCTAGAACTTACACAAATAATAAATGACATCTTAAAGATGTAAAGACTGTTCAGCCATCGTTCACCGGTACGTCATCGTTATTTGTCAAATATGAGTTTTAGGGTGTGTCTGAGATCGGTTCATATTGTTTAGAAAATTTTAAGTGCGTTCCCATATTATTGATTAAGCGAGTTCCGTTTTTTTTCGGCATTTATTCATTTTTTCTTGAACTATTCATCAGTTACAAACTCTGTAATTCCAATCCATTCCAAAGTTAAAATTCCTATTTCTAAAGCATCAGCATCTCGCTATATTATTTAAAAACGCTATCCATTTGTATTTTACATAGGAATATTACACCTATGCATTGTAGTTCATAGTAGCATTAGATGAGCTTCGTAGTACAATTAAAAGTATTAAAAATAAATTCTCATCTGGGACTGATGGGCTTACTCTCAAAATGTTCTCTGAACTTCCAGAATGCACGAGTTTTTCCAAACTGCCTAAAGACAGCAATAATTATTCCTCTGCATAAAGGAGGAGATAAAGATCAAGCTTCGAACTATCGCCCACAATTGCTCTCCTACCCACATTATCTAAGATCATTGAAAGATTGGTTAAAAAAAGGCTTCTATCTTTTCTCCTTATATATAAAGTACTTTCTACCCATCAATTTGGATTTCTAAGTAACAGTTGCACAAACGATGCTATGTTCGACCTTTTTAATAATGTATACTCTAGCCTGAATAACCATCACTCTACAGCTACAATTTTCTGTGATTTCTCTAAGGCTTTCGACTGTGTAAATCATAATATCTTAATTAACAAATTGCAATACTATGGATTCAGGGGAGTGCCGCTCGAATGGCTTAAGTCGTATCTTGGCAACAGAAGGCAGCTTGTGAGGATTGATACGTCTATGTCTTCTGTAAGCCTATAGAATGTGGTGTCCCTCAGGGTTCAGTACTTGGCCCTATTTTATTTCTGGTGTTCATCAACGACATTGCAAATCTAGACATTAGCGGTAAAATCTGCCTCTTTGCGGACGATACTAGTTTCACTTGGAGCGGCCCAGATGTTACGGCACTATATGATACTATATCCAGTGACTTACGCACCATTAAATCTTGGTGCGATTCTAATCTTCTATGCCTCAACCTTTCAAAAACTAAAGTTTTGTCATATAAAAGTACTATACAACCTTTTGTACTTAATAACACCACTATTGACGTCGTGGACTCTGTGAGATTCTTAGGACTTGTTGTGGACAACTCATTAAAATGGGACTTGCACATCGAAGCTTTATCAAAGAAACTAAGCGCTGCCTGTTTTGCGCTAAGATCAGTTTCTAAGGAACTTAACTCATCAACCTCTAGAATGGTCTATTATGCCCTTTTTGAGTCGCATCTTCGTTATGCGCTTCCATTCTGGGGTACTTGCGGCGCGACAAAATTTGATCGTATTTTCAAACTTCAAAAGAGCAGTTCGATGCTTATTAGAACTAAACAGTAGAACTCACTGCCAGAATTTCTTTAAAAATTTCAAAATACTGACTCTTCCCTCCTTATTCATTTTTGAATCCGTTTGCTTAATCCGCAAGCACATATCTGCTATTCCGGAAAGGCCTTCTCAAAACTATCCACTTAGGAATGCGGAGCACGATATTTATCTGCCAACCCCGAGCTCAGAACTAGTTAAGGGCTCAATACTGTACAATGCCAAGAAAATGTACAATCATTTGCCTTCGAATATCAAGTCACTTTCATTCTTTCCCGCATTTCACAAAGCTCTGAAATCATACTGGAGAGACTAAAAACTATATGCGGTAAACGACTTTTTTGTTGATGTTTAATCATCCACAATTTTGAATTTTAAAATTTTGATCATCTCATTCACTGGTTAAAGGTCTTTTTTTTAATATTTAATATATATAATATAATATTTAATATAAATTTAATATTTAATATTTTATAACTCTTGATTTTATGAAATATAACATGATTTTATCCATTTACAGTTTTCCTTTTGTAAAATTTTCTAGATACGTCTGTGTTCTGTAATGTCCATGTATTTTTTATTTGTAATTTTAATGACGTAAATTTTTTTGAATTGATTTGTATTGTATGACATTTTTTTATTATTTGTATATTTGTTTTTGTGCTTTTTTGTTTTGTGAATGCTTTGTCGATGAAGCTGTTTTGGCTTTTTGTACAATAAAGCGTTGTTTTTTTTTTCATACACGGCGTCCACGGACAAGAGTTGTTCTACCAGCGTCTCTTTCTTGAGAAAAATAATTTATAAGCTTAGCAATAAGCTCTTGTTCATTTTGGTTAACTCTTTGGGGCATTTTTGCAATAAAACAATTTGAATTTTGTTTTACAGCAACAATCAAGTTCTAATTTTAACAATGGCAATTACTAAAAAGAATATGCAGTAATTTACGAAATGCCGTAGTGACGTCACTAATCTCTTTCATCTGGTTGGCAAGTGATTGAGAGAGTGCGACAAAATATATGACGTGACGCTGAACGATGGCTGAACATGCTTATATTATGAAAAACATATTTAGCTGTCTTTTTTTATAATAATGAGTGACATTTTTAACTATAAATTATTGTTTTAACGGGCTATAATCTAACTAGCGAGAGATTATATGGTTTCGATAGATAACATGCAAAAAATTACAGAAAAAAAATAATTTCTTAATTACAATTGCGGATAACTATTCTTTCATATATTCTTACGCTGGAAAGACTATATCCGGATAAATAACATAAAAAATATCTACTTAAATTATACCTCCTAGGTGTTTATTCGGTGTTTTTGTTGTTTTATGTTACTCGTATTTCGTATTCTTATAAACATTTGGTCGTAACAATGTACGCAGTTTGAAGATCAATCCACTGAAGCAATAAAAAGCAATTTTTAGTTAAACTGTGTTGGTTCATTTGACTTTTTTTAAATTTTCGACAGCTGGTCGTTGCTGCCACAACAAAATTTCGTCTAATTAACGGACTCTCTTTGAAATTTTTCGTATAAAAATTTCTATATTAGAAAAAGAGTCTATTACGCTGTACTGTTCGGGTCGGGTAAAGCGGGTGTGTGGCCAAAGGAAATATATATTATATTTCAGAAACCTGTCTAAAGCCGGCATCCCACGACGCGGGACTTGGCGAATTTCGGCTTGGCAAGTCAGTTCGCCAAGTGGCGAGTCAGCGAGCGCGGTTGTTTCCCACGGCGCGGCGCGTGGCGAGTGCAAATTTGCGCGCGACCGTCGACTGGACTTGTCAAGTTGCATAGTAGTGAAAACAGTGCAGTGTATATTTGTTTCTGGCAGTGTGTAGTCAACATCAATGCTTCTTTCTTCTATTTAAGTTCCGCCACCGTGTATTTGACACTTAAATTATTTTCAATTCTTTTCCAACTATCATGAACAATATTTCTATTTTTGTGGTTTGGGTCCTTTGGATTCCAAATTGCTGGTTCTCCTTCATAAAGTTCCAAAAATTCTATAACCAGTTCATATGACCACTCCATTCTTCAAAAAATAAATAAATGAGAAACTTAATTGCAAAAAATACACCTATCTCAACGATTATTCTGCGACGATATGAAGAACGCTACTGAGGCTGCAAAACATTTTTGTTTAATACAAGCCTACGTGGGCATGGTAGGAAATGATTCGACAACGAGATTCGAGGAAACAACTTCAGACAAGTCAAACCTGCGATGCTCGTTCATCCTTTGACTTGTACCACATTTACCGACAACTGACCGGAAGACCGCGCCGAGCCGAGCCGCTTGTCGCATCGATGAGCGCTCTCATTCCCACGACGCGTAGCTCGCCAAACTCGCCAAGTTCCACGTCGTGGGATGGCGGCTTAAGGCTTAGCCCGATCCTGTCGTGTTAAGCCACACCCAAAATTCCAAACACAAGTGCTTTGATTAAGGCTTGATTGCAGAGCTTCAGCATTTGCCATAAAATAGCGAACAATTTGTTACAAAACCATATAAATTTTATATCACTATAACCACAAAACTTCAGTCTGTTTCCGTATTGTAACGGAAATTAAAATTATGTCTTTATTTTCTAGAAAATTTAGTCCAAACATAAGGAATATTTTGCTGACTTATTTGCTACAATACAGATTTAGTATAATCCATTATCTTTAATTTCCTTCTTCGTTTGTGTAAAAATACCTAGCCAGTTTTAGTTAAAACGTTAAATGCCGAACGCATATTTCGCTACTTTTTCGGACTAGTGAAATGGACTCTAAATGGTGATAAATCGTTTTGTCAGTCATTTAGTATTTCTGTAATTGGGTATTAATGTTTGTACTAACTTAAGAATTCAAAATAATCTATTTTTCCTTGGGTTTGGAATTTTTTAGACTTTTCAAAAACGTTATTTACTTCAGTGGATCAATAAAGCTGTCCAACGAATTAGGAAAGCAAAAAATACAATTTCGAGTGCATTAAAACGACAGACACAACTGTCACTGTCATGTGTCCTGTTGTTGGACAGACTATACCTTTTAATATAATTTCGCACCAATCAATCAAAAAACATTCAGATAAATAACTCAAACTTTACGACTTGTTGAAATGAAACTGAGTAATCTTTTTATTCGTGGCCCTATTCTGAAAGAAACTATTCAACGAACTGATTGTCCTTTGCCCTAAACTGTCATCCTCGCTCCATTCCGACGACACTGAACCATGTCTAGCACCGCCAGCTCTACTCACTGGCCCCCTTGGTCCTTCCCAATTATCCAACAACTTCAACAATAGATCTTTTGTACCGTTTGCATCAACACTAGACTGCCTAGAGATCGTACACTTCTCTTCGAAAGATCTTTTGTAAATATTCCTGCAACTCATCGGCACATCCCTGCTCGTGTTGATGTTGATTTTGAACTTGGTCCTCCTCCAAGGCACTCCGCATGCCGGACTTTGCGGATGGTCTTTTGGTAAGTCTGGAGGTTGAAGTAGTTCATCCGAAGAACCGTTCGTAAAGGTTGTAGTGTCTAGATTGGATAACCTGAAGAGTTTGTCAGAGAGCTTCCTGATTTCTTCAGCTAGGTTGTTTCTTTCTGTTATGTCCTGGTGTTTGACGAAACAGGTGGAGTCTGAGGCTCGTCTAAAATGATCTGTGTTGACTTGTAACAAAGACTGAGGTCTTAGCAGGTCTTCTTTGCTGGATTCGACGAAAATATTGTCATTTTCTATGCTCGAAGCGATGCTGCCACATGGAGAAGGTGAGTCTGCTATCAAGGAATGCGAAGATTCACTTCCGGTGTCTCCTTTCAGTAACTCGACGTCACCATCGGATATTTCAAAGACGTAAGGCGAATTTGGATGTTCATTCCATCGTTCCACGAATACCTTGAGGTTGTCCTTGGCGACGTCCATCGAACTGACCCTTTGCAGGATGGGCTTTTTCCTCCTGAGCCAATCGTGTTGCAGGCATTCTTCTGCTGTCATTCTCTGACTGGGATGAAAAGAGACAGACAAAGACCCACGGTTAGTGATGGGGTTTTAATAAAGGTAAGTAAATGATGGGGTGAGTGTCATGCGCGGAAGCAAGGCAACCCAAATTAGTAAGAAACAAAAAAAAAGGAAGAGAGAGAGTAGCGAGACATATTTGTTTCGTTTCTGTTTGAAGTAAGACTCTGAAAAATGTTTGAGGTTTCTGTTAGTGGTGTGTATTTTTAAGAATTAATCCAAAAGGGGAACAAACTAATTTGGGTCTTTGTCTTGCTTTTTTTGATGAATAGGAGTTGAAAAAATATCCCAGGGAGAGTTCCGTTTCGATTTTGGTTTCGATACAATGTCAAACTTATGTCATTTATTAAAAACTGACATAAGCTCTTTTTAAATACAAAAACGTATGATTTAAATTTACACGAAAGAAAATCGAGAAAAGATCCAGTGGTTCTCAAAATTTTAGCAAAAAATCATTTTTTTGGAAATTTTTAAAGTAAAATAACTCCGTTATTTTGGAAATATTTAAAAAACGATAAAGAGAAAATGTGTTTCTTTTATCTAGATCTACCACCCCTTAAAATACTTGCACTTAATTCTGGGACACCCTGTATATCGAGCAACAATATTTTTTGAAATTAGATGGGTGTCTTTGTGGAAACTGTTTACTTTTTTCTAAATTTTATATCTGTTTTTAGTAAATATCATATAGGCGAACGACATGACTGAAATGATCATCAATTGTCATTTTAAAGGTCACTACGACACAGTTTTTTTTTTCAAATATACGTTATATAGATAAAGTATCCAAAATTTTGTAAATTTTTAATATATTTTTAAAAATAACAGGATTATTAATATAAAACTAAAAAAAAATAAAGATTATTTATTACTTTTATGGGTCTTGGGATGTTTTTTTCCAGATTTAAGATAACTGCATAACTGGGATATTTTTTTAACATCCAAATTGAACAAAAGAAGGCCGAAATGTAGGGAAATAGAGAATGATTCAATACTTACTGAAGATCTTTTATCAGCAATTTCTTGATAAAATCTTTGGCATTTTCCGAAATATTCTGGAAAGCTTCATCGTCAAAATCGTACTTGGCTATGGTGACGTTAGCCATGGTTTCCACATCTGTGGATCCCATAAATGGTGACAAGCCGGACAATCTAAAGAAAAATAAATAAAAACTGTTGTTTCGTATCAGTATGATGGTAAAAACACTAAGAACGTCTGTGGGGAACGCTCAGTTGTTAGTGTTCTAGCACCAGGCAGTCAGTTCAACTACTCGACAAAAATCAAACTCAACAAACACTGTTCACCTATCCAGATTTATAGCATAATTTTGGCTATCTGAGTGACACATTTATATTAGTAGTTTCAGCAAAAATATTTACAGTGAAAATGGCTTCTCGATATACAGGGTGTCCCACTTAAGATGGATACAAGCCAATATCTTGTTGAGCGATCTTTATCATTTTTGGCAGGAGGCTGTATGGCTATAAGACGTACATTTTGCCCAGGGTAAGAAATGCGATACCTCATAGACGTACGTCTACGTTTTAATGGGGTTTGATATTTTTCGAGTCAAGAGTAAACTACCCTTAGGACAGTATTTATTTCAAATCTGATAAATTATATTGAATCCTCCTTACCTAAGATACTTAAGTTCTGATTTTGATAAATATTGATACAGGGTGCGTCATTAAAATAAGACGTTTTTATTTTTATTATTTTTTTAAGTACTACGACGCCACTGGATAAACAGGTTTATTATCAATAACCAATTATCAATTAATAATCGATTTAAGTTTTCGGATAGCTTCCATAATAATTAAGATACGATACAAAAAAAACTAAATATTTTCAATTTATTTTGTTTACTTTAAAAAATTGTTTTTTAAGTTTGTTATAACGAACTAAAAGTCAACATCTTCGACCAAACCAACATAAAAAACGATTATTAATTGATAATAAACCAGTTGTTTATCCAGTGGCGTCGTCAGTACTTAAAAAAATAAAAATGTCTTATTTTAATGACACATCCTGTATCAATATTTATCAAAATTAGAACTTAAGTATCTTAGGTAAGGAGGATTCAATATAATTTATCAGATTTGAAATAAATACTGTCGTAAGGGTAGTTTACTCTTGACTCGAAAAATATCAAACCCCATTAAAACGTACGTCTATGAGGTATCGCATTTCTTACCCTGGGCAAAACGTACGCCTCCTGCCAAAAATGAAAAAGATCGCCCAACAAACAACCAAGATATTGGCTTGTATCAATCTTAAGTGGGACACCCTGTATACAGGGTGCGTCTCAAAAGTGGCTCACCCCTATAACTTCTTTATTTTTTCAGATAAAAAAACAAGATTTGGCACGTTAATATATAACATAAATTAGAATTGATTGACGTATTCAATTGTTTTTGGTCAGTTCCTGTTTCCCCGGAAATAACTACAACTTTTGATTTTTGAATGACACCCTTGGTATTTTTTACTTTATTCATTAGAAAACGACACTCTGAACAGAATGACATATCATCTGTCAACTTTTAAATTTATGTCAACTACTAACATACCAAATATCGTTTTTTTATCTGAAAAAATAAAAAAGTTATAGAACTGGGCCACTTTTGAGACGCACCCGGTATAATTTAAGTTACTCTAATTAAAAGTGATATTAATATTTACTTACAAGACGTAGCAAATCACTCCGACTGACCACATATCAGTACCGTAGCCGATGGCGTCGAAATTGACCACTTCCGGCGCTACAAATTCAGGAGTACCAAACAGGACTTGCAACTTCTTATCGGGGTCGTACTTCCTGGCTAAGCCGAAGTCGATTATCTTGATCCTGTTGCCGGTTTTCGTTAGACACAGGATGTTCTCTGGCTGTAAAATCGAACAATAATTTATTTTTATTCAATTTTTATTTGTCTTTCTTAAAATAATTAAAAGAAAAACAAGTAAATTTGTTATAAACATGTTTTTATTCAATAAAAATATTTTTAATTTCTATTTTTATACTTAAAAATATTTATCTCAAGAAATCATAAAATTGTTTTCGAATTCATGTAATTCCGAACATCCTATAATAATATTTTTTTAACTTCGATATTTATTTATAAATTCAAATTTTACAAATTGGACCATTGTCAAATTTGAAGCCACAATGTCAACATCTATTATTCGCATTAAAATTACCTTGAGAAATTAATGAAATTTTATTTATATGGAATTCTCGTAAATTCATTATTTTATTGGTAAATTTCCAAGACTATAATCCAAACTATAATCAGGAACAAACTATAAGCGATACCAATTAAATTTTTAGTTACGTAATCGAGGGCGCGGTTTTTAAATTCATTCTTGCCAACCATGGAATATTCGGCGCCGGGTTGACTAACTTGAATTTAAATTTCCCGCTGAGGTTTCAGGTGGTAGCTCCGCTGTAAAATATGTCAAGTTGCCACATTTCTTTATTTATTTCCTGAGATTTTCACTCGTTTTAACACTTTAGTTTTGTATTAGCAGTTTTTGGTTTAAATGAATTATGTTGTGATACTTTAATCTTAACAATTTTTACTAGCATACCTTGCAGTCGAAGATTGTTCTTTTTAAAACTTCTTTTAGTGCGAAGTGTACAAGATAGCTTAATAGTCAAACTCATCGCAACCTTATTAGAATATTCTGAACGGGAAAGGGGTAGTAATAGCCCTTTATGTCCCTTAAGTGCTGTCAAGAAAGTGAGTTTTGTTGATGTAAATAATAACTGTTTATATATTTTTAATTAATTCTTTTTTGTTTCTTAAAATATTTTGATTAAAAGAAAATATGTAAAAATTGACAACGCTGTGCCGATGAAGCTTAATCACGTCACTAAAAGTTTATTTGGTTTGATCTATATATTCAGGAAATTGTCAAAATAATTGTCAGATCATCGTTTTTTTTTAATTTATTTACCTTCATATCCAAATGTAGGATTCTCTGTTTGTGAATGAAGTCGACTCCTTCGCATATCTGTCTCATAAATATCGTGCAAGCCTTCTCGGTTAGGATGAAGTCGTCATCGATGACCCTTTCGAAGAGCTCGCCTCCTTCTATCCTAGAAAGAATCATAAAAATAAACATGTATATTTATAGCTCTATATAGTTGGAAGATTGGGAAAAAAACATGATCGATATATGAGTTCTGTTCTCTTCGTTTCAGATATACATCGGGCATTAAAATAGTTTAAGACTTTGATTTATGAAGTGTTTTGCTTATTTTTATCTGCAGAATATGTTCTTGCAAAAGTTTCCCGATTACAGTTAGGACCACCCTGTATATATAAATAAATAAATGCCTTTATTGTCAAAAAATATTTCAATTTGTAGGCAAAGATAAACTAAAAAATATAATTCATTTTCATTTTTAGTAAATAAGAGTTCAATGCTTTGCGAAATGAAGAAAATGATGTTATGGATTTCATTTCAAATGGCAGGTGATTGTGCATTTTTTTCGAGTTGTATAATATTGAACTTTTAACTAACTCTGAGCGTGGGGTAGGTAGATAAAGATCTTGCTCCGCGTTCCTGAGTGGATAAGTGTGAGATGGCCTTTCTTGAGAAGCTGATACATGCTTACGTATTAGGCAAACGGATTCAAATATAAATAAGGAAGGAAGAGTTAATATTTTTAATTTTTTAAAAAAGTCCTGGCAATGAGTTCCGCTGTTTAGTCCCAGCTGTCCCAGTGAATATCGAACAGCTCTCTTCTGGAACTTGAAAATGCGGTCAAATTGAGTCGCACAACACGTACCCCAGAATGGAAGGGCATACCTGAGGTGCGACTCAAAAAGTGCATAGTTCTAGCCACTGACAAGTTAAGCTCCTTAGAAACAGATTTTAATGCAAAACAGGCAGAGCTCAATTTTTTCGACAAAGCTTCGATATGCATATCCCATTTCAGAGAATTGTCCACAACAAGCCCTAAGAATTTTACAGATTTTACGACGTCAATATATATATTTTTGAACATTATTGGCTAATAAAAAACTTGGATGCGATATGTAACGGAAAAGCGCACTTTCCAAAATTATTTTTAAAATCTTCCAGACTATTAGTAACGCCATGTAGTGGAATGTCTCAATGCCAGACAGTTTTAGTAAGTGAGCTTGTGAGTTTTTTACTACAAAATATATACGTTGCCTGCAATATTTGTGTCGCGTACTTATTAATAGGTAAATTTGAATAGTTTCATTTGGAAAATTTTGATTGCATTTTAGAACAGTAAATACCTCCTGGTAGAAATTTGACGGATTTCGTCAACACGTATGACATCAGGTATTTTTCCTTTATTTGTTTTACATATCATTCAAATAATGATTAAACTATATAAAAAGGCTTCATAATCCATCTTTAAAAAATCGATCATGAAAATTCACATAAGATAGGTAGACAAATTATATTAAAGATGGATCTGTATCTATGAAAGGAATTTCAAGATTGCGGACACAATATTAGAGTACGATCAATTTACTACGAAACACGTTTAAATAAACATCAATATATTTTATAGATCGCTACCTATACAGGGTGATCCGAACTGTATTCCGGAAACTTCGGCAGCATATTCTGCAGATAAAAATAAGTAAAAAAGCTCGTATAAATGTATGTCCTAAAATGCTTAGTTTCGGAGCTACAGAGTGTGGAAGTTTAAATTTTATTTCGATTTTTTCCAAATCATTTCTGAAGTAACGTCAATATTTGGATGAAAATTGGTGTCTGGGAGTTTTTTCACATGATAAATTTGATTTTGATGTTAGTATGACGTCTAATTGTAGAGGGCGTCACCTACACATTTTTAACTGGTTTGAAGAGTAATGACTTTTCGTCCGTACCTGTATAAAACAACTGAGTAAAAAAATATGCATTACTTACTACTCTTGGTAAAAATTGCTACGAGTAATGATTCTCGAGATATTTGAAATCGAAATTATCAATACCTGTCATCATTGATATAAATTAAACATGTTGACTGAATGGTTATCAGATTGAAGATAAATTTGAAATGTTCTTGTGCCAAAAGTTCAACAGAAACTGTTTTTTCATTATTTTTTCTAAGAAAAATTTATTTCAAAAATAAAAAGTTCCCAAATTTATCATTTCAGTCAAATAACTACAATCAACTCAACATGTTTATTTTTTTTCAATAATGACATGTATTGACTATTTAAATTCTAAATATCTTGAGAACGACTGCTCCTAGCGATTTTTACCAAGAGACTTGTTACGTAAAAAATCACAGAAATTTATATTTTTTCACTTATTAGTTTTATACAGGTACGTAAACTTCTACACCCTGTATCTCCGTAAAACTAAGCATTTTATAGAACATACACCTATAAGAAGATTACTTTTACTTATTTTTATCTGCAGAATATGCTGCCGAAGTTTCCGGAATAGTTCAGACCACCCTGTATACAAGCGGCAGAGTCTACGGTGGACCTACCCTCAAAACACACCGCAAAACACGCTCTCCCACTCATTACATTGACTACTTGCAAATTTGTTGAGTCTGTATTGACAAGATGCGTCGTTTACTTTTTTACGAGAAACATCGATTAAAACGGTAGCAGACCGAGCTTGGAGAACAGTGCAGTCGTTATCGGTAAAATAGTTGCGTGATTTTATTAATTCCATAATAGATAGGAAAGTTTTATACATAATATTTACTTTGCAGAGTGAGTCATCTCGATAAAAGAAATATATTTTCTTTTTGCCGTTTTCAAACAAGTCCAAAATCGCCAAAATTGTTAAAAAAATAGTTTTTCTTTAAATTTTGAAAACTACAACTTTTTCGATGTTTTTTAATTGATAATTTAAAAATTTTCCAAAAAAAAATGCAAAGGTACAAAATTTTCTATATTTTTTTAGGAAAAAATGAGTGAAACGAGTCTCCTGTAGTCTAGTCACTATATCCCTAAAACACGAACTCTATTTTCGTAACAGTGTATCATATATTAGATCATCTCGTTTCCAAAAAAAATCATTAACTTCCCAAAAGATCGCGATCTAAAAATTCGTCTATGAGTGACATTGAAATTCCCCGATTGAACCGCCGAGAAAAAAAAAACAACTATAAACAATTTTGGAAAGGCGCCAAAAGCCATTCGCAAAATATCCAATTTTTCGTACAGAAAACAACGGCCTGGGTTCACGAATTCATAAATTTTCACTCTCTTTCCAATATCTGTGAAAGCTAAAGCTGAGGCAAAGTAAATAAAAAGTTAATTATAGCCGGTATCGAGTAAATAAAAGAGACCGGAGAATCGAAGATCCTATATTTTATAATAAAGATTTCGGGTAGGTGTATAGGAAAAATGCATTATTTTCATGAAACGCCAGTATATAAACAAACATTATATGAATCAGTCTCTGTGAGTTACCGAAATATTTTAACTAACTAAAAATACTTATTGGAGATATAATATGTCAAATTTTTGCCACAACATTTTGAGACATTCGCCAGAGGAGACAGGCGAAAAAGTTCATAGTAGATCATTCGACAGTGACTAGTGTTGCACAAGAGTCTTGAAAAAGTCTTGCAAGACCAAGACTCTTGCAAGAAATTCAAGACAAGACTTTCAAAATTTCTTGTCTTGAATTTCAAGACAAGACAAGACTTTAATATGCAAGATATTTCAAGAATCTTGCAAGATTTCTTGAATTCAAGATTTCTTGAAAGTTAGAAATGATACATTTTTTTAAGTGATAATTAGGTGTTTGCGCAAGTTATGCTGGGTTTATACAACATTTATATAGTCGTAATCACAATCATAGTCATAATAATAAAAGTTAAACTATACTCTGTTTTTTTTTCTCAGGTAAGATTTCGACAGACGATGACAGAAGAAAAGCAGATGACGTCCCATACCAATCTATTTATTTTACTAAAAAAAGTTCTTTCTAATAATTTTTAAGTTAACTATGGATGGGTTTAAATATAAATTCGTCATGCGTCGTCACTTGTTGTTTTTAACCAGTTTTATTGGTTTATTAAAAGAATGACAGATCGTATTTCAATTTTATTGGTTTGACGGAACGATGAACGACAAACGGACGCCGATGTGTATGAACTTGCCTTTAGATTTTTGACGTTTGTCAAAGTCTTGCCAAATTATAAGTTATAATTTTGTGACAACTTTTGTCAAATACCCCGCGTTTTGGAAGATGATGCATTTTGATTCGTGTTATTACGTGTGTTTTGTGTCTTTTGAAGTCAAGTGGAGGAAAAATCGAGTGAAAATTAACTGTAGAACCCAGAGCACAGTTTATGATTAATACTCGCTGCCCAGGCAGAAAGTCTTATACAGATACACCAATAAAGTTACTATCAATTAAGTTTGTATACCATCTCGTCGTAGATAAGTGCATAATGGATTTTAATACTGCAGAAAAATAATGTTAAAAGGTACTGGTTTAAAAAAAATTAAGATTAAAGTTAATTAACCAACCTGTGAGGTATAAAATTTGGTAAGTGTTATTATTAATAAACTAGTTTGTTTTATTTATGTTGTTTTATTTATTCCTGCGGAATATTACAAATTTATATTTGTACATGTTATATTGATAAATATAATCATAAATGCGGGAAGTTTCATAAAGCTTGAAAGTAAGAAATAGTTCTTGTTTATATTTTTTGGTATGTGGTGTCTTGTTTTTGTTTGTTTTGTATTAACACATACCGTTTTTTATTAAATAAAATAACTCGATTACATTTGTTCAGTTTTATACAGTTTTTTTCACAATATTTTGAAGTTACTTGTCAGTCAAATTTTAAATACATTTATATTAATTTCCTGCTATGCGTTCCAGTTGTACCAACTTATTTCTTTGTAAAATAAAATAAAACTACTTTGAAATTAAAATGACAGACACATCTATCACTGTCAAGGATCTTCTCGTTGGACAGACTATATCCACTTCTTATAAACCTGTTGACATCTACCATGAATTTAGCCTTTAATTATGTTACCCAAACTCACTGATATAAAAATTACGATTATGAAAATGTTCTATAAACGCACATTAAAAGTGCGTTGTGATTATGACGATGATTAAGACTTTGAGTATGATTACGACTTATGCAAATGTTGTATCACAGTTTAAAGAATATAAAATATATCAGTTGACCCACTCTTCGCCCGTATCAAAATTCCTCCCGCCGATCCCCGCCTGTCTTGTAGACTTGGGTCAGTCTACATCCGTTGCTCGACGTGTACACAGCGTTTCAAGTTTATTTTAGTTTTGTTTTCGGTCCGACGCATAGGGTGAACCAAAAATAGTGCTTTAGTTGTTTTGTTCGGATTGTGAATAAAATGTCTACTAGAAATATTTGTGCAGTGGATGGTTGTGAAAGTAGAATGATAGACAATATATCGTTCTTTAGGTGCCCAAAAGATGAAGGAAGGTATGTGTTTATATAGCATAGGATATTAAGTATATAATAATTAAAGTATTAGACATATTAAGTATATTATAATTATGGAAACCTAACTATGAATAAATTGTTTTAAAAATATACATAATATAAATTAAAAAAAGATTTTACTAACAAATTTTTTTAAACAATTAGTTTATTATTTTAGTAGATATTTTTGGATCGATGAATTATTTTTCACTTATTTTTTACTATCCGAAGCAGCGTTACATCACACAAACTTCCTACCTGAGTGTTTAATAGTCTCAATAACTGCATTAGCAAAAAACTAAAATATTTAAATATTATGGCAAAGCCACGATTTTAATATTATTTAATAAGGTCAACATCGGAACTGCGCGAAATACAGAGCCGAAAACTTCTGATTTTTGCCGTATCGAGCGCTGCAGGCGCAATTTTTAAAATCAGCCTATATGTAATTTTGATCATTTTAAATAAGTAATAATACTTAGTAAAAAGTTTTTACTTACAATTCGAGAATGACCCACATGACTTTTCCGTTTTCGTAGGCATCGTACAATTGGATCAGTCTGGGATGTTGCAGCATACGCATTATATCTATTTCTCTCTCCACATTTCTTTTATCTTCTTTCTTGGGACACGATATGAACTTGGCAGCTAAACAAAGGCCAGACGATTTTTCTTTGCACTTGTATACTGTACCGAATTTTCCTCTGCAAGAAAAATAACCGAATTAACTTTCATCATAAAACCACAGCCTATTTCTTAGACAGCCAGTCGATTTCGCTAGTTTTTGGGCACCCGCGGACATGCACCTAGTTTTTATAAACTCAGCTTCAATGGAGCCTTGAAACCGACTTATACACCCCTATAACTTTTTTTAATTTATCACATAAAAAAACGAGATTTATTATTATTACTAGCATACCAGTATATGACATAAATTAGAATTGACGTATTCAATTATTCTCGGTCACTTCCTGTTTCACCGGAAATGAATATAACTTTTGATTTTTAAATGCCACCCTCGCTATTTTTTACTTTATTCGATAGAAAATGACATTCTGAATAGAATGGCATATCATATATCAACTTTTGACATTTGCGCTTAATAAAAAATTGTATTTTCAACTTCAATCTAGAGTGCCATGGCTATGTTAAAAACACCAATTTTTAATCAAGGAGTCATGGAAAAATAGATTTGATAGTCTAATGTTTTTAGTGTCTCGTCCCAACCGATTAAAAGATGCCCAAATCGTATTTTTAATCATATCTCAATTTTTTCAAACGGAACGAGGGTGGCTCATTAGTCTATTTGGAAAAAGCAATTTTTACGAATAATTTGATACCACACACTTGGTATTTGAGTCAAATTTTCGTTATGAACCGCATGTTATCAAATTATAACATGCATGAAATAAACCATATGCGGATGCGCAAATTTCAAAAGTTGATATATGTCATTCTATTCAGAGTGTTATTTTCTATCGAATAAAGTAAAAAAATATCGAGGGTGCCATTTAAAAATCAAAAGTTGTAGTCATTTCCGGTGAAACAGGAAGTGACCGAAAGTTGTATACGTCAATCAATCCCTAATTTATGTCGTATACTAACTACTAACATACCAAATCTTGTCTTTTTAACTGAAAAAGTAAAAAAGTTATAGGGGTGAGCCACTTTTAAAACGCACCCGGTATATAGTCTTCCAACGACAGGATTCCTGACAGTGACAATTGTGTCTGTCATTTTAATTCACAGTCAATTTTTTGTCTGTCAAAATCTTCCCCGAAGAGTATCCCACTGTTGGAATTCATGTACATTTTCTTGGCAGTCATTGGCATCACTCCTTCCGGGAATCTACTATAATTATATATGGCAGACATAGTCAGTCACCTTCACAGTCATTAGCCGCCCATAACGCAAGGGATTTTTAAACGATTGGTCCCGCAGTCCAGATATGACATTCCGTATCCGCCGACCCGGTCATTCACAGAACTATATTTTGATATTCACAAACGCGCATATCTGATCTTTCATCAGATAAAAACCCCTTGCGTGTATGGGCGGCTATTGGCAGTCGGTTGGTAATAAAATAATATTTTGGCAATACATGTACGTTTTTTACCTAAGTACGACTATAACGACCGTTACATGACATAAGTAAATCATGGAAATGACAGTAAATCGACTGGCTGTCTAATAAACAGGCTGTGATAAAACTTCATTGAACGAAAATATTCTATTTTGGACTTCTGTTCTAAGAGGTCTGTTATTTTTGGCCAAAAATATTCAGGTAAATAAATGAATGATTAATTTTATAAAAATTCAAAGTTATTTTTTATTGTAACTGTCATCAAGCGACAAATATCTCGAAAACCTTTAAAATAATATAATGTTTTCAATATATTTGGATAACTATGTATACTTCCTACCTGCCAATTTCTTCTTCCAAAGTGTACTCTTCTTTTGGGTCGGCATTTCTTTTAATTTTGACATCTCTATATGGAAAGCTGAGGTCTATTTCTAAAAAAAAACAAACACAAATATTAATTTTAATTCGCAGGATGTCATGATATAAATATCCACAATATACAGGGTGGTATACAAATCAACTTCGGCAGCATATTCTGCAGATAAAAATAAGTAAAAAAGTTTGTATAACGCCCTAAAATGCTTAGTTTCGGAGATACAGGGTGTAGAAGTTTCATTTTTACTTCGATTTTTTCGATTTCGATTATACAGGTACGGACGAAAAGTTATTACTCTTCAAAACAGTTAAAACACATGTAGGTGGCGCCCCCTACAAATAGCAGTCATATTGACATCAAAATTAAATTTCTCATGTCAAAAAATTCCCAGACACCATTTTTCCAAATAATTTATGAAGTAACGTCAATATTTGAATATGACGTGAAATTATTTGGAAAAAATCGAAATAAAAATGAAATTTCTACACCCTGTATCTCCGACACTAAGCATTTTAGGACGTACATTTATACGAACTTATTTTTATCTACAGAATATGCTGCCGAGTTTCCGGAATACAGTTCGGACCACCCTGTATATGTAGATAGTTTTTATAAAAGCTTCTATATGACCTCAGAATCCTACTTATTCTTACTTAATACGAGTTCCGAAATCCAAATGACCCTAAGTCGACTGGCTGTCTAATAAATAGGCTGTGATAAAATATCGCACTGTCTAGCACCTAGCACAGTTAATTGCGACTCTGTATTAACAATTTGTTCATTGCGACCGCAGAGATCTAATGTCGTATTATATTTTAAAAATAATAGAACTAAATTTAATACACCAAACTGAATATTATAAACAAATTAGAATTTTTAGTGGGTGTTGCCAGCTGAGGCCGTGCCAATAACCGACAAACTGAATAAAACAGTCGTCGTAAAAAACTCTGGAATTCCTATTTATGTAATTTTTCAGGCAGGTTGTAAGTATAAACTACTGAAATGATAGGTTGATAATTTTGCAATTGAGTAATAATATATCTATTCTTGTCTTCGTCTATTTTAGCGAAATAAAGAAACGCTTATTAGTACTTTTTATTTTTGTCATTAATTCTTTAAATAATTGCTATTTTTCTTGGCGAATTTGTGTATTTTTTATTTATATCCAATCAAAATGTGTGTTTGAATAAAAAAAATTATGTTTTATGGGAAACATTCGACTATCAATTACATAGAACTCTGCATTATCATCATTTTCAGCTTATTCAACCATTTCCATTTATGCTGTAGCCTCCCTCACATATTTAGATGCTCTCTTTGTATTTGAGCCCATTGGCGTAACTACAGGGGTCGCCGGGGGTGCCGGGTCCCCCGCAGGTACTGCTGGTCACCCCCAGAGAAATCCTGAATTATGACTCTTGGCTACGTATTAATTTTTATTTGCCTGTGATGCAGTAAAAATGACGTTTTCTAGTTTTGTTTAGTTAATATTATTTTGTTGTGTTCAAAAAATGTGTTAATTTGATTTTTTTAGAAAATTTGTAGGTATTTAAGTAATCTACGGGAACACGGTTTGATAACCAAGTCCGTGAAATTTATTGATAGAGAAATTCATGTAAACGTTTTATTCAAAAAATGTGTTTTTTTAATTATTTTTCATTTTTAAGAAAACAAAGGCCCTAGCCAACACCAGCCCCCCTATAGACCCTGCTTCTAGGTCTCTTAATTCCCCGTGGGTACCACGCTGTAATTTTTGTGGTCTATCTGTTTTCCATTCTTTAGTTTCTGCAAAATTCATTTTGTGGTCTTGATAATTAGAAATTAGAACTATGTCATCAGCGAATCTTAGATGGTTAGTACTCTATATCTGTTTTCAATCGTTTTTAGGTCCAATCTAGTTGACAGATGATTTAATCTAGTGTTTCTGTAAACAGCTTTGGGGATAAGGAACTCATCTACATATCTACCTAGATATTCGCTTGTCTTATGTTATACTCGCGTGTACCCGCGACTTCGTTCGCATCGAATTAATCATTTATAATGGTGATGATAAAGCAAAGCAAGAATTTCCATTAACATACAAACTGGATAAAATTCTCTCACATTTATGTCAGCATGAGAAAAAACAATCGAGAAACCCCTCCTTATCGAACCTCTACACCCGACAGTCAATCCGTTTGCCAAAAATCAGCTTTAAATGTCAAGCAGTTTAAGCAGAATCGTGATATAAGAACACCCTGTATAAATTTTTAAAAAATCTTAAAATATGTAAAACAAGAAAATAAAATACACGTGTTTAAGAGTTTTTCCGAAAAACTCACCGGTTTTTAAATAAAAAATATTTTAATATTTGAGGGGTGGTTTCACCCCCTTAGAATTCGAGTTTCGAAAAATCCGTTCTTATCGAACCTCTACACCCTAAAGTCAATCCATTTTCCAAAAATCAGCTTTTTACGTCAAGCGCTTTAAGCAGGGTCGTGATTAATCAATGACCAGTCACTTAAGGATTTTATATATTAGTATAGATAACAAGTCGGATTCTATGCTTCAGTGAACCTCTATCTTTACAAGTCAGTTACTTAAGGATTTTATATATTAGTATAGATAACAAGTCAGATTCTATGCTCCATTGAACCTCTATCTTTACAAGGCAGGTGAAGCGCGGATACTCAAAATCTAGCTGAGTCAACTAGCTGTCTAATAAATTGGCTGTGGTTTTACCTCATTAGGTAACTGATATAATAATTGTTTATTCATGATCTAAAAATTATTATTGACAAAAAAGTTTATCTAATGAGTCAATGACATTATTATCAATGATCTTATCTTTTTACATTAAAAAAAATAATGTTTTGTACATGTTTTCTAAGTAAAGAAAGGAGCCCCTGGAATGTAACTATGTTTTGATTAATTGAAATAACTTTTTTATTTAGACATTACATAGTTTTGTTGATGTCGATTAATTTGACCTTAGTTGTAAGAAATATCAATTTGATAGATAAAACAATGATTTTTTTTATTGATATTGCTTTTAAATGGCGTCGAAAGATCTATATAATTTAAGTCATAACTCTTTATACACGGTGTCTCAAAAATAAGTACAGATATTTTAACTGGTATTATATTTCGACCCCAGAAGCACGCCTATGGTTTTTTTGCGAAAAAAATTGTTGAAAATTTTAAATTTTTCTTGAAATTTTCCGGGAAATTTAAAAAAAAATTAGTGCCACTTGTTTAGTCACCTGAGGCGTCGAATAAGTTGAAAAATCTTGAGAAAACCAAATATATATATTATAAGACTATATTGCTAGTACCGCATTTACATAATGAGTGGAAAGTGAAGCCAAAGAAAAGAAATAGGAATATCAATCTTGCATAAGTCTATCCTTTTGGTTCAACAGGATTTTAGTGCGCACGCGCCAAATAATTCGATCTGATTCGTCTACTTCATCGCTGAACGCTGTCACCTGCCCGCGCACTATTTTAAACTCTAAATATTAATAACGTATATTATTTTTTTATTTGTAATAGCATTATTTCAACCTGTTATTTTAGATATTCATTATATCTATCCGTTCCTTGTTTTTGTTTAAATATGTCAGAGATTAAATCTAAATTTTTAAATAAAGGCGCGAATAGTCAGACGCTAAATTGATTTACGTGGCAGATAGAAACTTACAAAACTACTTCTATTAGTTAGTATGAAATAAATCAACTAATCGCGAAGCACTTCTCACATAGACTTAAAATAAAATATAGACTACACTATTTACATCTCAACGCGGACAAACAACCTTTTTTGTACACATGTTTACTTCTGGGTACAGTCGACCTAGCCTTCCTCATCCAGCCTATGTTGTCACGTCTTTAATATTATCAATATTTTTTTTCTTGTTATACACATATATTGAGATATTAATACTACAGTTTAATAAAGTAGGTTTTAATATTCCATAGATGTATTAAATAGTACTTATACTACTAAATTATAAGTCGGATACTGTTTAATAAGGATAAGTTCTTTACAATATGACAACACCGATTAGAGGCGAGGGAGCCTATTCATTCATTTATTACCTTGTAGTACGCGTCGCACGTGTGCTGTAAAGCTTTGTTGCCGCTATGTCCCCGGCTGTATTAATGCATTTTCCTAGCTTGTAGTCCTTAAGTGTTTATTTTATTGACTTTTTCTGTTCAAAAACTATAAAATATGGTTCGCCAGTGCCAAATTTGCAAGAAATTTGACTTAAATAATCCATTTAAGTCTTGAAACGACTTTTGACCGGTAGGCAACTCTCAATTTACCCATTGGCAGTCAGTGGCGTTGTTGTAGAAAGGCGCTTATTTAGATAATATTTTAGTAAAATGTAAAATCTGAATTTTTTCTTTTACATTACATTATTTACTTACTTACATTGTAACAAAATCATAATTATAACCCTGTTAATAATTAATAATGTTTTTATTAAAAATATATTCCGGTTTATTCTAAAATTATCTTCAGAATCTAAAATAACATACAAGAATTTTAAAATGATATTACATTATGAAACAATATTTTTTAATATACCGGGTCGTCTCAAAGTGGCTCAACCCTATAACTTTTTTATTTTTCAGATAAAAAACAGATTTGTATGTTAGTAGGTATATGACATAAATTAGGATTTATTGACGTATTCAATTGTTTTGGTCTCTTCCTGTTTTACCGAAATGATTACATCTTTTTATTTTTAAAGGCACCCTCGGTATATTGCTACTTTATTCGATAAAAAATGACACTCTGAATAGAATGACATATCATATGTCAACTTTTGACATTGTCGCTTAAAAACATATCCTATTTTAAATTTCAATCCAGTTTTTTTCAATCCACTAAGTTTTAATCAAGGAGCCTTGGAAAAATAGTTTTGATCGTCTAATAGGTTTCGTGTCTTGTCTAGGCCGGTTAAAAGATGTACAAATCGTATTTTTAATCATACATATGTCAATTTTTTCAAATGGAACAAGGGTGACTCATTAGCATATTTGGAAAAAGCATTTTTTTTTATGAATATA